GTTTCGTATTAACGTCACTTACTTTGACGCTGCAGCTGCTATCAGAATATAGTGATTGGATGGATCCTTGGTGGCTGGACATCTCTCCAATATTCTCGAAGTCGTAACCACTGACTGTCGTGTCGGATCCGGTCATAGGCTTTTCTAGGTCCACAAAACACATGTACACCGGCTGGGCGTACTCCCACGATTTCTCAACAATCTGGCGCAGGGCAAATATATGGCCAGAGGTGATCCACCAGGCCGGAAGCCACATTGCTCTTCTTGGATCTTGAGGTCAGCTATTTCGCGGCGCCTCCTTTCTAGCACCTCTGCGTAGACTTTACCTGGGAGGCTCAATAATTTAATGCCCCTATAATTAGAGCATTCCTTGTGGTCTCCCTTCTTGAATAGGGGTACAGTAACTTCCGTTCTCTAGTACCCTGGTATCTTCCCCGGATGTTTAGGCTTAAGACCACACAATTCATATAAGGTCAGTGATAAATCGGAATGAATGAAGCTAGTTCTAAGTGATTGTCAGTTTTTTTGAGCTTCGCAAGGGGTCTTTAAAATGCATTAATCGCTCTTAATTGACTCGTGAAAAGAGCCCAGAACGTGTATGTTATCAGTCAGTTTCGATGACCGATGCAAGGCCCAATGATTCATGACCAGATGTAGGTATGAAGGTGCCCTTTGACAGATAATTTGACCTGTGCCTCATGAGCCTTCTTCAAAATAAAGCGTTTGGTGTACTTCAGAGATCCTTCTTGTCGTCTGTAACAGTCCTTAAGTTTCGAGCCAGAAAGCGAGCATCTGGTCCGTGCTGCCGGTTAATTAGTTTTTTTGCGACTGGGCAACAAAACTAATCCAATCCGTGCAAAGTTCGTATCCTCTGATATACATGTACTCCTCTGATTCAAGTTTTTCTTGTTTCTAGTAACGATGATTAAAGATTTTGACCTTGACGACCCTTTTGGCGATGGTTTTGCTAAACAAGAACTAAATACAGATTTTGGAAGAGGCTGCTTCGGCGTATGCTGTTTCTTCGGGCGAAATCTTGAAATCGATGAACACAGGTCTATGCGTTTGCCTTTGGCCTATTCGACGCTGAGCATCATTGGCCGATTTCAATTTCTCAAGCAACTCGATCATCCGCATCTTTGCGCCTACTTAGACATTCAGCGAGGAAAATACGGTAAGTGTTAAGGGACAACTGACTTTGCTATTGATTTCAAATATTTACTTCCTTCAATTTATTTTAAGTCATAATAGACTTTTAGTTTATTATGTAACGACAACATAAAGAATAAACAAATAAATATTAAATTGTAATTTTAGGCTTATCCTACGATATAGGACTGGTGAGTATAATGCCACTGAACAAACTATGGCACTTTTTGTTTATCGTTTCACTGATAATTTATGTTGAGAACTGTAATGGATACTTTTATTTATGAAAATGTCACCAAAAAAGGCGACCATCGTTTTTCTGTGGCTGTACACCCATATGCCTTCATTGCAGTCGTTTTGCGCTTCTAAAGTAGGACTGAAATTTCGTTAACACATGGCAAATCGGTTGCATTTCATTCTTGATAAACATTCCGTATGAGCTTTATTGTTTCATATCTCACAGCAGGTTACAGTTGGACAGAAGAAGAACCCAATAGATTGCAGTTTCATTTAAACCATGAAAAATTTAACATCGTTGTGCAGTCGGACCCCTAAAATCCTACACCATGACAGCAAGCTGCTGTGATCAGCGTTTGGATCGTTGTGTCGTATAACGCCGGTCTCTGGTCGTACTGCCGTTCAATTACCTGATGGTTTATAGGCCTATTCGAACAAGCTGCCTTTTCCACTTGTGTAATGGTTGTTTTCTGAAAAGCCGCCAGGAAAGCGACGAGGACTCATTCTATCGTTTATTCATTAATTTTCGATGCCATCATTTCTTTTGGTCTTGAAGACAGCCATTTGAGAAGGTCTTTCCAATGGTACCGATCATCTGTTCATTGAGTATGCGTAGTAAACTGGATTAAAAGGCCCGACAGTACCAGGTCCCCTGTATAATCGAAATATCTGGTCCTCAGTGTGCAACTAGGCCTTCATCAATACGGCATTGTTCTAAAGGTTTCGCTTGTGGTTCTCTACTGTCACATTTTGGTGTAAAGTGCGCGATTTCACTAGAAATTTTTATACTCTCAAGGGCGTTGAACATATGATGAAACGTTGCTATTTGATGAAACAACATTTCTATCGCGATAGATTTTATCAGGGATAGAAGTGAGTCGATAAAGTCAGGGATGGCTGTTTGAAAAGAAATCATTCCATTCGATGCTGATAAAGCTGCCACCCATCCTTGTGGGTATGATTTTAAGGTTACCGGTATCCACTTTCTGCAGAGTCCAAGTTTTGGTCCCATGCATCTGTAGGTGGCACTAGCGGAATGAAGGATTAATAGGTTCGCATCACGGTGCAAGCCGACGAGATGCTCGTTGACCAGATGATTAAGAAACGTGCTAAACGGTACTACGAACTACAAGACATTACGAAGTACAAACTAATGCAATTGTTTAATCAAACTGGCGTTTAGTTATATATTCCACACACTCTCGGTAGGATGTGCTTCGCGATAGTCACAGGTTGACGTAACCTGGTGCTAAGATGCTCTTCTTTTGGACGGTTAGTCTGTGTAGAAGGATGCATGGAAAGATTGCAAGGGGGTCATTGTCTCAATTTATCTCAATTTATTTATAAAGTATGAAAGTTTGATGCTGTATGCTCTTGAACAGTGAATAATTTGATGAATAAACTTCAAATACTGGTACTGCTGTTTTTGCTTCCTTTAATCGCCGACTCTCAGTGAGAGTGGCACTAAAAGAACAATCATTTTTTACATAATCTTATCCTACATGTTCCTGTTCAGTCCAACACAGCGGAGTAATTTTGTTCATATATGCAGCTAGCCGGATACAGATGTGTCAGGTTAACGAAGTTCGACTGGCCTTTCAATCCTATTTAACTGGCAAAATTACTCAGGTCGCATTATTGTATAGTCGTTGATCCCTAAAAAATTGGTAAGTCGATGTGCTTATAAACATGAACGAATTTCCAACTAGTTTGTGACTAAGTCGTGGTTACGTTGAATCCGAAAGATTTTATGTGAAACGATTCGATTTTTCACAGATACAAGAAATCGGGATAAGGAATGGAAAAATTTAATAAATTTTGATTGTTTATATTTAGATTGGCTATATATTGTATCAGAGCATTACTGTACCACTATTTCCAGTCTGATGAACTTGGACGATGCGCATAGGTAACTGATGATCGATTCACGTGCCATCTTGCACAGTTTTTTTAGAAGGGAGCGAATTCCTCAGATCGCGTTTGAAATCCTCAGTGGCTTAAACTATCTGCATCAAAACGGTATCGTGAATGGTTTTTTGTGCCCAGAAAATGTTTTGCTCAACTCCAAGGTTGTAATGTGGCAAAGCCTAAATGTGCTGACCGTTATGTCTTAGGGGTGGGTCAAATTGTCACATTTTGGTCTCTATCATTTGTCGGACAAGGGTAAAAATGTCACCTTCCCTATTGGGTAAGAAATCAGAACCGCTAAGACCGTTGGTATTGTCACTCGTCTGCTTTCAGAGATCCGTTTTATTCAGCCCCCGAAATGTACGGAAATGCCGACGGAGTTCCACACAGTCGAAAGTGCGATGTTTGGTCGTTTGCACTAATTATTCTCGAACTCGTTCTGGTAAGATCTCGCCCTTGCATTGACTGGCTGTACGACGAAAACACGACAAAACGGGTTGTCTTTAATCTAGCATAATGTCACAGTGGTGAGCACCAACGAACGTTTTCTGTGTGTTTCGTAGTCCATTATAGTTAGAATTTTTATTTGGCCTTCATTTGTGTTTTTTTTAAATAAGAGCTGTCTGTGCCAAAATATTAAAATATCAAGATGTTAATGTTAAGACTTAATGTTTGGGTCAACACTATTTTTTAGCACATAAGTAAGAATGAAAACAAAGCAAAAATATGTGTGCCATTGCAACTGAATCAAGGTTGGGAGAAAAGGTGTGCTTGCTGACCGCATCCGTTAATCCGTTTGCATAAATAGGGCGTCT